CTAGTTATTATCCCAAATAGCATTCACCATTTCCATTCATACTCTTTGGTTCTTTCGGTAAAGTCACTTAGGCATAAAATAAAATGAATTAAATTACGACGTTTCGACTGCAACACAAGCAATCATCATCAGGTGAGAAACCCACAGCAAGAAAAATGTTTTTTGCTGAAGTGGGAGAGAGATGCCGTAGTCAGCAAAAAACATTTTTCTTGCTGTGGTTTTCTCACCTGATGATGATTGCTTGTGTTGCGATTGAAACGTCGTGATTGATTGTATTTTCTAACTACGTGACTTTACCGAAAGAACCAAAGAGTATGGATCCCTGCAGTCACGAAAACTTCAAATCTAGATGAATTGCCATTCAATTTCCTACACATACGATTGTAGAACAAAATGTTCAAATACTATAAGGTGACTTCAATCAATGGATTAATGGTGCGTAATTATCAGCGTACGCACCGTTGTGTGTGTTTATCATGGGAGTAGTAGGTGGGTATGCGTCGACACATACCAGTCGACTCCCATGCTGGAGGCATCTCGTGCCGTGCAGGAACATCGTTCTGTGCAGCGTGTGCTCAACTATGTCTTATATAATAATGATAACTCAACAACTTTCGGTTATTACGCTGCCTTACAAATGTAACATACATAATCGGTAACGTGTCCGGTAATGGCTCTTCTTTACAGCACATAGAACAGGGGTCGGGAAACTTTTTGACTGGGAGAGCCATAAAAGCCAAATATTTCTAAATATATTTCATTGAGAGCCATATAGTATTTTTAACATATAATAAATTAAATATGTCTTACTTTTAATGCGACTTCTGGTCACGGGACCCGTGACCCGTGAAATTTATCTTCAAAACTAATTTCTGTTTACTTTAAAAAGACAGTATTATTAAGCAATATCACAAGTATTTTAAAATCATTTCCAAACTGATTTTTTATTATTTTTTATTTTTTTCAACTCAAAATTGTCTGGGAGCCATATGCCGTCACCGGAAGAGCCATATATGGCTCGCGAGCCATAGGTTCCCGACCGCTGACATAGAGGGTCCAGAGAGTCGCCTAGTATATGCATACTCTTTGGTTCTTTCGGTAAAGTCACGTAGGTTGAAAAAATAATCGATCACGACGTTTCGATCGCAACAACAAGCGACCGTTTTCAGGTGAGAGAGTATATATATGGTTTTTTTTTATTGGCAGAAAGGGCAAAACCTATTGTTATTTTTCATAATTTTTGATATCTCCAAAATAGGTCCCATATATTTAGTTTTTTATTTTGAAGGCAGTGTTATTCGTTAATCACTTTTAATTACTTTTGTAGACCCAACTAATTCATTTTGACAAATGCACTCGATAACGTGCGCTTATTACAGGCTGCTATTCAGGAATCCACACAGCACACCCAAATTCTGGTATGTACAATAATAATTATTATTCTGTGATGCTTTAAAACAGTAATTACATGTTTATACTAGAAAATCACAAATATGGCCCATATTTAGCTTACAAGTACACCTTCATAACATATTGAGTGTGCATTGAGTATTCAATGACACATTCAGTAAAGTCTTACGTGGAGAAAACATCATCACTTGATAATTACTTCAGAATGCATAAAAATGCCTAAAGTTAGTGTAACCTCAATTATCCAGGATTAACGAACATACTTTTGGATTGTGCAATCATATGCCAAGTAAAAGGGGTACCGTTTAATGGTATATTAAAATAAAACATTTATATTCTACTATTTAACCCTGATGATTTAAAATCTCTGGTTGTACCTCGAAAAATAGTTTGCGGTTCAATTACGGCAGGCTGCCTTGGTTATTTGGTGGTGTATTTACCGTAATAAAATATTTTTTAAAAACTTTTTTAAAAACACGCTTTAATGAAATGTACTGTCCGAGCTGCCCCTGCCCCCTTCCCCCATCGCCCCTCCCCTCCTTCCACATCCCCCGCCCCTGGGCGTGGCTCCCCGAGGCTTGCTGTGACGTCAGGGACCACGTGGTGATTTACAGGCAACGTGAGTTGAGCGTCGACAATTAAAGCCGTAAAAAAGATTGTTTAAAAATATATAGTTTTAATTTTCAATGGTAGAATATAGTATTGTCATCAGTATGACATTCCTATACCAAGTTTGCAGTCGATACGACATTGGGAAGATGGTTGAAATTTAGTTACAAGATTTTAGAATACGACAACACACAGAGCAAGTTAAATATAAGCGTGTAAAATGTTTACAAATATATATTTGGGATTTTTTTAATGATAGAACATAGTATTGTCATCAGTATGATATAGGTATTTCAAGTTTGCAGTCGATAGCACATTGGGAAGTGGGTAAAAATTGAGTTACAAGATTTATTTTTTGAGGATACAACGGACGGAGTGAGTTAAATAAAAGCGTGTAAACTTAATTTCGAGCTTTCGTGACTGCAGGAATAACTTTCTGGTTCTTTCGGTAAAGTCACGTAGAAAGAGAAAACAATCAATGAAATACTAGCATACGACGTATCGATTGCAACACAAGCAATCATCATCAGTTATAAATGAAATAAAAACACAAATCTAGTATACTTAGAAATGTAATGTAATACAACAGAGAGTCGGATAACATAATAGTCAACACCCTACCTGGTTGATTACGTTCTTCCTGAGAATGCTAAATTAGTAAAAGCGTGTAGTAAAAAAGGGACGTGCCGTCTACTGCGTAGTGAACGTTAAATATCCCTTCATGTTTAGTAAATTGGTCCTGGGTAATTTCTAAACATTCGCAGGAAGGGAGTGATAACTGGAAAAATGCATCCGCAAATTATTCAATTGGGACTACACATAGTAATCATCGCCACCTACTCAGATTCAGAATCTTTATTTATACTGGAGGAATCCCATCAGCTACAAAGCTCCTTTTCACTGGACATCACAGATCTCATCGCAGATGTCCAGTGGACATCATGTCCAGTAGACACCTCCTGGCCGACCTATGCCTGATTTAAAGACAGACCACAAGTTATCTTATTGTGCGCTTTGAGTTGTAAAGCAAGGGCGGTGCCTTTGATGTTGGAATGCCATTAATTTCTTCATGGTGACTTAGAGAGTTAATGAGCAACCATGTGTGTACTGAAACACTCCCAAAGAAACGCTGGCACCCATCCATTGCTGCGTCATCTTCAAATAACCACGCAAGGTGGCTGTGTTGTAAGATGGTGGGGTCGAGCATTGGTGTATTGCTCATAAATTGATCAAACGACAAACCCTTCCATCCAGAGGATCGCTCGTTGATTGTGGGTTATTTCTGTTGTGGGTGGGTGGACGCACAGGTTATTGCAATGAAATTAACTGTCATCAATGTTTAGAACATATTGTAGGCGCGTGTAGAAAACGAATTGGTCTGAGGCACCACTGTCCCGAAAGCATAACACCTCATCGTTGACCCCTTAATCTAAAACCTTAATCCTAAACTATAAACCTCTAACCTTAATCATTAACCCCTAACGTAAACCCTGACACTAGGTGCGGCGTTTTTTCATATCTCATGGATGTCGTATGTACGTTGAACTTCTTTCGGCACCGAACGTAGCCAATCGTGCTCAAAGAAATTCGTTTTTAATCCTGCATGATTTAAAAGTGGCCTAGCTCCAGTGGCTTCCTAATATTGGAAGGAAGAGCGTTCCAGACGGCCGCAGAAGCGCATCTGAAAGCACGCGATGCAGTGAGATCTTCTTTGTTCGATGGTGAGCCAAATGGCATTTGAATCGGACGACGGGTGGCTGAGTATAATCCCAGCAAGGTATGTTATTGTACGAAAATCTAGCCTGATCAGTTTAGAAATATTTGGGACGCTAGTGGCAGAAAAGTGCGTTCTTTCTCCAAATCTACCAGACGCGGTTATCACTCCCATTCTGCGAATGTTCAAAAATGACTCAGGGCCAACTTACTAAACATTATAACCCCTAATGTCGCCTGATATTAAAGGTTCATGTCACTTCAATTGCAACGCCATTGTGTTGCCCATCTCTTAATCCAATGTTTAATTTGCAAATGAATTGCTACTGCAAAATACACGTTGCCACATAACCACAAGGAAGATGGGTCTCCATTGAAAAAAAAAACGTGAATATCACTGGGCTCACACATGGCTAATTATCGGATATTTGTGAATCATTAACTAAAGGTGTGTCATGCAACCATCGGTAACATCGCATCAATTACTTACATAATCCGTTTTAATTGCATGTACAGTACAACTTATCGATTGCATTAATGTTTGCGCGCGGTACTTTTAATAGTAAACGACTATGTGACGTAAATGGGATTCAAAATTAATACGAGACGATGCAAATCTGGGAATCGTGATATAACGTAACACTGAACTTTTCCTGACTCATATCAGGAACATTTTATAAGTGGCAAAATATTCCAGTGTAATAATAACTCAATGACTCTCCACCACCCGACAGAAACACTCAAATGACGTTGTCACGGGGAAATCGCAACTATGCCCAATTCATTTGTTTCTTCAGAAAAAAATTTGAAAATCAAGCGACAATTTCCTTAGATATTACATTGATAAAGCGTTCACAAAATCTCAGCTATCACGTGAAAAGGATCAGAGATGTATCCATCCCCCCACCACCACCACATTCCAATTCAACACACGCGTACCCGAACGATAATGTCACTTTAAACTTAACGCTGCATAATCTTTCTCATTGTTTCTGGGAGGCTCTTCTTCTTCCATGGTCGTGTCGACTGCCATCTACAACAACTAAAAAAAGCGCCTTCTACAAATTGCGTTATCAGCGCGTACCACGGGGGCATGGGAGCGCGTGCACTCGCACACACAAAGACAAACAAACACACGCCCTTAGTGTTCTACGTCAATCTAAGGCAAACCCCACCACACCTAAACCCCCATCCCCACGGGCACGTGGAATGAACCCTGGGCTCGTATATAAACCCCAGTCAACTGAAGACAGCAACCCCCACCTCCCACTCGCTCGCAAGAGCGCCAACAGAAACCCTGCGACGAGCCAACGGGGCATCTTGCACCCTGCTCACGACTTCAGCAGGTGAGGATGATACGAGCTTCATCGTGCCAGACTGCTTTACTACCTTGCTATATTGAACCTATATGGTTGTTTTTATTGAGCGAGTTTGTGAGAATGTAGCTGTATGGGGCGCTGCAGTGGTGAGATGTCATCTCCCTGGCCTGGTATACAGGAGGTCGTGGGTTTCATCCCGACCCTGATGTCTGCTGCTGTATATTTGAAGTTTGAATGTTCTCAACCGTGGTCGCGTGATTTTTCTCCAGGTCCTCCGATTTTTTTCCTTCCACATGTAGAGATAACATGCGTTTGTAGTATGTGGCTGCGATGAATCTTCACGTGATGATAAACCACTTTGTTGAGCCATCATTTGTGGCCAGGTAGCTTCTGAAAAAGAGGTATGTAGCTAAGTGGGCCTTACCTGGTAAAATTAAAAATAGTAAAAAAATGTCCTTTGATGTATATTGTACGTGGTCGCTTTTGACTCTGTATTTAGATAAGCGTTAAATACATTACAGCAAATGCCATAGCAATACACATACAGGTAAATATTTACGCGATTTAACCCAAAAAAACTCATATGGATGATATTGGTCGCGAAAGTGTACGTGTTAAACAGGTATGTTGACAGTCTTGATTTCAAGCTTTCGTGACTGCAGGAATCCATACTCTTTGGTTCTTTCGGTAAAGTCACGTAGGTAGAAAATAAAATAAATCACGACGTTTCGATCGCAACACAAGCGGTCATCCTCAGGCGAAAAAAAATATAATCCAACAGTGGAACTGCTAAAGTTCAACAGTTGGATTATATTTTATGTTTACAGTATATGCATTATATAACTAGTCTGTATATAAAGTTGGATTGATGCTGTTCAGAGAACAATCTTGCGGTCGCTTTTTTGACCGGGAGGAAAGGATGATTAAGAGTGGTTCGATTTTCGATTTAAGGGAGAGTTCTTTGTGGTTTCACACGTAACACGCGCGTTTCACACGTAACACACGCGTGTTACACACGTGTTTCACATGTAACACGCGAAACTACCTGGAGAGCGGTGGTGCAGGAGTTGGCGCTCAGCCAACATCGGTCGACTCGTCCTCAAACGAGTACCTGGTGCGGCGTGTAGTAAACATCGCCACTGGGGAGACAAAGGCGGCCGGGCGTGTTGCTGGCCACCCACCCCCTCGTGTGCCGTGCCAGCCTTTATAGGTGCTCGCCAGAGGTGTGGACTCGAGTCATGTGACTTGGACTCGAGTCAGACTCGAGTCATGAATTTGATGACTTGAGACTCGACTTGGACTTGCATAACAATGACTTTGTCCCACCTCTGAGGTGTGGACTCGAGTCATGTGACTTGGACTCGAGTCAGACTCGAGTCATGAATTTGATGACTTCAGACTCGACTTGGACTTGCATAACAATGACTTTGTCCCACCTCTGAGGTGTGGACTCGAGTCATGTGACTTGGACTCGAGTCAGACTCGAGTCATGAATTTGATGACTTGAGACTCGACTTGGACTTGCATAACAATGACTTTGTCCCACCTCTGGTGCTCGCTAACAGCACTTGCCCCAACAGTCTGTTAAGGCTACACGGGCGGTTGGTGGGGGGGGGGGAATCTTTGTCTTTGTTTCACTTGTAATCCATAGCCATGATCTGAACGTGTCATTGCATTGCCTCTAATCCACAGCCATGGGGTTGAAGGGGAAGAAGACCGCCAAGTCGGTATGCCGACGCCTCTACACCATCCTCTTCGCCTTCCTGGTGCTCGGAGGTCTCATCTTCACCTACGCGATCTCGTTCCCTCTGGTGACGGACGAGTACAAGAAGATAGCGTTCGGCCTCTACGGCGCCTTCCTGGCGCTGCACCTCATCGTGCAGGGCTTCTTCGCCTACCTGGAGCGTCGCAAGATGCTCAACGACGCGCGCCCGTGCTTCTTCACGAGCACGGTGGCGCTCACCGTGTCCGCCTACCAGGAGGACCCCGACTACCTGCGCCAGTGCCTCGTCTCGGTCAAGAACGTGTACTACCCGGCCGACAAGCTCAAGATCATCATGGTCATCGACGGCAACAGCGAAGACGACCGGTACATGATGGACATGTTCTGCGAGATCTTCGGCGACGAAGCCGAGACGTTCGTGTGGAAGCACAACTATCACACGTGGACACCGCCCGAGAGCGGCCTCTCCGCCGAGGACGACTTGTACGCCGAAATCGCCATCGAGGACGAGCAGCGGCTGGAGCTGGAGGAGCTCATCAGGACCAAGCGCGTCATTTGCATCATGCAGCAATGGGGCGGCAAGCGCGAGGTCATGTACACGTGCTTCAAGGCCCTCGCCGGCTCTGTGGACTACATTCAGGCGAGTCGTTGGAACGCAGCTCACGCGAAGAATTCCCACCCCGCGGTTGAGCCTGACTTTTGGGGCAAGTGCTGTTAGCGAGCAGCACCTGTGAAGGCCGGCACTCTGGCACACGTGGGGATGGGGTGGCCAGCACCAAGTGGCTATGTTTAACACACCGCACTCAGGCGCTCATTTGAGGCTGATTCGATCTAGGGGAGGCTCAAGAGCGGTTCAGATGAGCCATCACTGGTGTTGGCTGTGAGTGGGAATCGAACTCGGCTCGCCGGGTTCATAACGCAGTGCGCTAACCACTAGACCACCATTCTCCCCCACACACAAAGACACGCAATCGATGAATAGTCATCAAGCGCTCATTCAGCTCATTCAACATCTGACACGAGACTTAGTGGATGACAGACATAATGGATTGTAGACATTTTGGAGAGGTGCAATAACACAACGTGCGATATTCATCACAATGTGTTGCCAGATTTTATTTGGTTCAATAGCCTCAAAATCTTTGGCCAGAGCAGGCAACAAAGACAAAGATCCCCCGTGTAGCCTGTAACAGACTGTAGGGGCAAGTGCTGTTAGCGAGGACCTACCTACTAAGGCCGGCCCGGCACACGAGGGGGTGGGTGTCCAACACCACGCCCGGCCGCCTTTGTCTCCCCAGCGGTGATGCTTACACACCAGGTACTCATTTGAGGCTGAGTCGACCTAGGGGGAGGCCGAGTACCGGTTCAGATCATCGTCACTGGGTGTTGGTGGCCGTGAGCGGGAATCGAACTCAGGGTGGCCGGGTTCGCAGCACGCTAACCGCTGCACCACCGCAGGCTACATCTGCCAGTGCAGGCTGCAGCACGTGCAGCGAGTGGCATGTCCAGTCTCGGAGCTGGTGGAGGGGGTTGTATTTATTTATAATAATTATTATTATTACAGAAATCGCTGTGGTTGCGGTATATAATGGGCAGAGAAGCGTGAGACCGGGTCTGTGTGGATGTACGCCAGGGTTGCCGGTCACTGATCGTGTTTGCTCTGTTAAATTATTATTTTTTTATGATCACAAAAAAAGATGAAAGGCCTTTACCTAATTTATTTTCAGTTGTTTATAATTAAGATGTGTATTATTAGTAGTATGCACCCGCGATTTCTTATGAGGGACAAAGCGAACCTCTGCCCCCGCCCCCCCCCCCCAAAGTTAAACTCCATCTATGCTAAAAAAAGGTGTCAGTTTTGTTGCCAGATAGAAGGGTAAAAAACCAATTATCATATTTTTACTGGCAAATGAGGTTCCTATAGTCCATCTATGCTTTTACCCTATCTGGCAATTATACAAGTGTTAAGATGTTCAAACACAAAATAGTCACCTAGTACACGGCATTAAGTCTGCCTTCACCACAGATTCGTTTGCACTTTTTTACTCACAAGCATATTTGCCTAACATGCAAACACGTCTTCTTGTTTTATCACAAGTATGTGTGGCTGACATCTTAACACCACCTGCATTTTAGCCTTTTCTTCTTCTTATCATCTTGGAATGGTCAAAATGGGTCCCATAGAGAAGACATTTTCTAGTTCCTTTATTTTTGTTCGTGCAACAATGTCGTGTTTTTTTCTTCTCTAGTTTAGACCAGTTCCTTTTCCCTGCAACTCGCTTGTTCTGTGTCGTGACCTCTGCCACCACGATTGTGTCACTAAGACCCGGAACTGTGCAACATCTGCGCCGTCGCAGGACAGCATTGCAATAGAGCAGTGGTTCATCTTCTTGGTTCTTTCGGTAAAGTCACGTAGAAGGTAGATAATAAAATAATAATAATAAAATAAAACATAATAAAATCAAATTCTCACGGCGTCTTTCCGACAGCCCTGTTCTTCACCTGAGGACGGCTGCTTGCATTGTGGCCGAAACGTCGTGAGAATTTTTTTATTATGTTTAATTTTCTTATTATTTTTTTATCTTCCTTCTACGTGACTTTACCGAAAGAACCAAGAAGATGAATCCCTGCAGTCACGAAAGCTTTAAATAGAAATTTAGAGCAGTAGTTCTTAACCTGGGGAGCGAGATGCCCTTTCAGAGAACCAAAGGAGTTGCAGCCTGCAGTAAAGGTGAAGAACCAATGCAATAGAGAGACCTCGCAACTCATTTTGCCCTCCCTGCTGAAATAAAAACAAATCCACATCTATCTAAAAACCAATACATTAGTGGATGAAAGCCAATACTATCTTTTCCTATTCTCCTGTGTACATTTTGTACAGACTATCATTAAAGTTCAAGTCAAAAGTCATGCTCATAAAAAAAAGTGTGTAGTGCTGATCCATCTCGGTTGATAGGCTCTGAGCCAAGTGGTGTTGATCGCACATTCGTAACGACCTGCATGACGTAATTATTTTATACGTTCAAAAATCGACCACACATTTTTTGCAAACCTATGCATTACGTCCCCAATTATCGACAACATATTAAGTGACTTAATTCGCGCATCTTTACTTATCGACAACAATCAATCATCATGGGACCTCCTTTGCCAGTACCAAAATATACTAATAGGGTTTTTCCCCTTTTTTTTATGGCAACAAAACTGACACCTTTTGCAAGGAATCATGCTTACATTAACCACAATACCTGTTTTTTGTTTGCATTTGACAACAGTAAATCATTTACAGGGGTAAAAAATATTACGTTTGTTGCGCACATTCAAGCAGCTGATACATTTACGTTTGGCAATCGAGGACACATTTAGTTAACAGGCACGTCTTAAACATGTTCCATTATCAAATGTAAATAAATAGGCTGCATATAAATATATGTTGTCGATGTTTAAATATACGGTTTATAAATAGGCTAACATTTATAGGCGGAGTTTGACTTTTATATTTCAGGGGGGGGCAGGAATTGGCTTTGTATTTTACATTCGGAGTCGGCGGGTGTAAATAATTGATTTATATTTAATCTTAATTGTAAACTACTGAAAATAAATTAATGAAGTTGTCCAGTTTGGGGGTGGGGGGGAGGAATTTCCGCAAACTCCGGCTACATTGAAGTATGATGTCGATATTCATGCCACAAACCTGTTGACCTCCCACAAGCCCTTTACAATGTCAACTATAACGATGTATTCTCGTTGCTGTCGTTGTTTGCTGCTGGATGCAGGTCTGTGACTCGGACACGAAACTGGAAACGGATGCCACCCTGGAGCTGGTGAAGGTGCTGGACTACAACAAGGAATACGGGGCAGTCGGGGGCGACGTTAGGATTCTCAACCTCAACGACTCTTGCATCAGCTTCATGAGCAACCTCCGCTACTGGATGGCCTTCAACGTGGAGCGGTCGTGCCAGTCGTACTTCGACTGCGTTTCCTGCATCAGCGGACCTCTCGGTACGCCTCGATTTTCACCCGCTCAGCGCGGTTGGCTGCGTATATGGCAGAGGTGGGACAAAGTCATTGTTATGCAAGTCCAAGTCGAGTCTGAAGTCATCAAATTCATGACTCGAGTCTGACTCGAGTCCAAGTCACATGACTCGAGTCCACACCTCTGGTATATGGTGCGAAAGAAGTTCGACACGCGCACGATGCATGCGGCGACGTCTGCGATCTGGAATCCCAAATTAGGACGCCGCTTTGAGCGGCAGATTTGTGCCAGGGAAGGTGCCACGTGTGTAAGAATCAATACAATTTACTTGGCTTGATTTGGAAGTTGCGGGAATGTGAATTTCGCAAACGTCCAGGAATATAATTCTATTTTTGAGAAAAGAAATCAAAAAAATCAACCCACTTGTTCTGCATGTACATGTGCAGCCCCTTTAAACCCACTGATGGATAAGAGCCTCGTCAAACCGTGCGAGATGTAGTTTTTTTTAACCATACTTCACCAGTGACGGTCATTGCTGGTTGATCAAGGCATGGAGCACGGAGTTGGGAGCAAACAAGTACAGTACAGCGATGTATTTTGCTGCACTGTTCTCTCTGCTGCTCGTCGCAGAGGCGAGCGTAGCATATTTTGCTCATAGGTACACGTGACCCCGACAAATACTCAAAAAATGTTGTTCTGCAGGTACCTACCTGGGCCGCGTGTCCAAACCTGTCCAGGCTAATAATAATAAAAGGCTTTGTAGTCTGCAACTTCACCAAACTAAAAGTGCTCTCGAATTTGTGATTGCGGGCAGTGGTGTAGCTTTAGATTTTGCAGGCAGGGCAACTGCACCGGGCTCAGGCGCCACAATGAAGAGGGGGTGGGGACGGCAGGAGGATTGGACAAGGAGACTCATTTCATGCCTTGCACCAGGGACCATGCCAACCATGCCGTGCCACTGCACACCGATGTCAGTACCAAATTGCTTAGTTCCATCACTGCTTGCGCCATCACGAGCAGAGCATTTCTGTAAGATCACAAGGAAGTCGTTTTTATTTCCTATGAATAATGTTGGGTGTAAATGTGAAAGAACAGATAGTTTAAATTTCGATTTAAAGCTTTCGTGACTGCAGGGATTCATCTTCTTGGTTCTTTCGGTAAAGTCACGTAGAAGGGAAATAATAAAATAATAAAAATAAATATAAAACATAATAAAATGTTTATTATCTTTTATTATTATTATTTTATTATTTCCCTTCTACGTGACTTTACCAAAAGAACCAAGAAGAAAAAAAACAGATAGTTTATTTTAAGTCGTGCCTTTTATTTGTTTTATTTTGAGAGAGGGCCCCGTAGCAGATTGAGAACGATCCTTCCGTGTCAGGATCTTGATATCGGTATTTGAAAGTCAATGAATGTTTCCAACAGGTCTCTACAGGAACGTGTTGCTGCAACAGTTCATGGAGTCTTGGTACAATCAAAAGTTCCTGGGGACCCACTGCACATTTGGCGATGACCGCCATCTCACAAACCGTATGCTGAGCATGGGATATGCTACAAAGTGAGTCCGTGTGTGTTTCTCTGTGTTGACCCTTTGTGCATGGGCGGGAGTTTGACATATATATTTGGGGGGCGGGGGTTCGCTTTGTCCCTCACATTATAAATCACGGGTGCATAAATTAATTTATTATCGTCATGGTAAACTACTGAAACTGAATTAATAAAGGAGTCTGGTTTGGATGGGGCATTGCCTCCCCCCCACAAAATCCGCCCATGCCCTCGTGCATTAGCAAACTAAGCAAAATCTTGAGGGCCCCAAACAGCTCAGGGGGAGCCTGGATTTATTGAAAAAAGATTTGTTAACCAAATATCACCTCGTATTCTAATCCAAACATAACAATTACGATAATTAATAAATAAATCTCAATGAATGTCTCATCTTTAACTTATCTGCATCTCCTCTCTCATCTCACAAGATTTATATTTTCTCTCTACTTATCTCATCTCACTACATTGGCTTCTCCTGTCTATATCTCGGCTGACATTCCCACTAAGGTTTTATAAAATGAAAGGGTGGCCCCCAATTGGCTACCACCGCCACCACTGTTGTTCGTCAGCTAATTAATTGTTGTTACTATAGGAACACAAAACAAATACCATCTTTTTTAAGAATGCATTTTTTTTTCAATATTATTTTTGGAGAGAGTGGTACTTTATATGAATCGTATAATTCGAAACATTGGCATCATTACTAAAAAAATGCTTAGATTAGTCTTACTTTTATTTAGCTCTTTCGCTATATTGCCGTGTGGCTTCCACTGTATTTTAAGCATCCGATTTATACAAATTATTAACATTTTACAGGTACACAAGCCGGTCCATTTGCTACTCAGAAACACCAGCACAGTACCTTCGCTGGCTCAACCAGCAGACGCGCTGGACCAAGTCGTACTTCCGCGAGTGGCTCTTCAACGCCATGTGGTGGCACAAGCATCATCTGTGGATGACCTACGAGTCGACCGTAGCCGGTATCTTCCCGTTCTTCGTAACAGCCACAGTTATTAAGCTCTTCTACACCGGCAGCATCTGGGACATCATCTGGGTGCTGTGCGCCATCCAGATCATCGGCTTCGTTAAAAGCCTCTACGCCTGCTGGCTGCGGGGCAACCTAGTCATGGTTTTCATGTCCCTCTACTCGGTGCTCTACATGACGAGCCTTCTGCCGACCAAGTACTTCGCCATCATCACCATGAACAAAAGCAGCTGGGGCACCTCCGGCCGAAAGAAGATGGTGGGCAACTACATCCCCCTGCTGCCACTGTCAATTTGGGCGGCCATTTTGTTGGGAGGACTCGCGTTCGCCATCTACAACGAGACGCAGCAAAAACACGAACCAATCGATAAAGATTACTTGATCTATGGGTCCGTAGCCTACATCCTTTTCTGGATCATCATGATCCTCGCCTACTGGGTTTTCATCCGGAAATGCTGCAGGAGCCGCACGGACAACTACAACATAGCCGTGTGAGTGGGCTACGGTGGCACTCCCAACAGGCGTGGAGTTCCGCGGAGGTGAATTGACGTTCATTGAGCCCAAACGATCGTATGTGAATTGCGGCAGGGATGCAAGTTACAAGAAACTCGTTTAGAATGCTCATTCTTAAAGGTGCACTCCTTTTGGAAGAGCATTTCTTTTTTTGTCAAGTTCGTTTTGTGCATTATTTAAGTGAGATTGAATAACGCTGATGGTATCCGTTTCTTCAAGACGTTATCTCTTCAAGACATTATTGAAGTGGAGACATTGTTAAACCAAAGGCTTTCAAGATGGAAAACGTGAAAATATATTAGACTTTCTCAAATGTACAACTCTGAACGGGTCCTTTAAGATCCATTGTTATTTCGTTTGTACCACTTCCTTTTTTTTATATCCCCTACAGGGAAGCCCTATTCACACCGTATACTGGGAAAATGTATTATCATGATAAATTGTGGATTATTTTTAACTTTACTGTACATTTGGAGCTGAACGGAATGGATGAATTCTCCAAGGTTGTGTCTGCGGCATGTATGTTGCGGTGTTATAATGGTGTGTTCCCTACGAGAAAATGCTAAAGTTTTGCCTCAACACAATGTAGAGTGCATTTTATTTGAGAGGGTGCTGCATGGGAGGAATTTCTTGGTTTAAAATTTTAAAACGCTTGAGTGGATTGTGCAATAATGTCATTTGCTACGAGTATTGGGGAATTGCAAAATTGCCTGGTGCTAACTATTTAACTTTACAGGTTGTTGCGGGTTAGTGTGGGTCGGTAAAAGGGACTCTGGCGACTGGTCCATATAGAACTCGCCACTGAGGTTAGCCGTGGACTGGGAATCACATTCGGGTGGCTGGGATCGTAGTGCAGTCGATGAGGATAGCGTGAGGCAGCTTCAGCAGTATCTGCTGTACTGAACTGTTTAATGTGATACGGTATGAGGGAATCCACAAACTAGCTTACGTATACATTTTTACTTAAAACTTTCGTGACTGCAGGAATTTATATTCTGTGGTTCTTTAGGTAAAGTCGCGTAGATAGAAAAAATGAAAGTCAATGAAATACAAATAAAACATATTATTATTTATTTTATTTACTTTAATTGTGACTTTACCGGAAGAACCAAAGAATAGTTTGCGCATATATATGTTAAAAAGTGCAGCTTACAGTTTTGGTTTTGCACAAATACTATCCATGTGTGTTGAATTAAACGTGCCCAAAATGTTACTTTACAAAGCAATATATTGAGATCAAACGTATTGGCTGATGTAACTTACCTGCATGAAATTCACACTGTGCAATATTGATGCTGTCAACATGCGCTACGTTGCTGATTCTTTGCCATTCATGAGCTGCCACTGTCAGCTCTGCTCTGAGAGCACTTGTTTTGAACAACGCATCTCTTATTCACTCCCGATGTATGTGTGTTGAAATTATTTTGCATCGTCCGTACGCCAACCGTGCTAATCGGAGGTGATTAACTTGGCGTAAATTATTTCGAAAATGTGGTATTTGTACTGTGCTTATTAAATGCGCTAAAAAGGTTTTGGGTCCTATTCGCAGATTCGCACAAACTCATTTCTGCCTAATGGAGCGTGCCATATTGGTGAATTGTTTGAGGTCAAAGGTCATTTGCCACACGTGCATCACCACCCATTGTGTTTACAACGTCTATCTTTCCTGGATTTATGCAAAGCGAAATGTTGTATTTGTTAAATTATTACGGTTTCAATTGTTCGTACATTTTAATTGATGTAAAAATTATTGTCATTATTATACGGTATTGTGTTATGTTTATCATCGCGTATACATATGCAATAAATCAAACGAAAACAAAGCTCATATACTTCGTAACGTATCATGTTTTGTTGTCTCGTGCTCTATATTGTATCTGTAGTAAGTAGAGGAGGAGACGATGTCGAAGTTGGGACACACTGTTTATTAACTCCGGGACAGGCACAATAGTTGAAGGGGTATCGGCCCCTTCACCCGTACTATGGGAAACCCACCCTAGTACTAAGCCCTCTGTCCTGTCCCCCAGTCCTCCTCTACTGGGCTACGGGAGGCTGACTGATCTGGCCCTGGCAAGCACAGATCTCGGCACCAGCTAACCAGCCTTGCCCTGATAAGGGCAGCGGTCTGGAAGCTCTTGGGCCGCGCCACTGGCTTACCCGGCTCGGCCCTTATAAGGACGGCGAGACCGGGGAGTCCCAGGGCCTAATCTCCGAGTCTTGGATCTTCACTGGTCAGCTTCGTGTCGAACTGCCCTCGAGCTCTTTGGGTTCCACCTTTTATAGGGATCGCCTCCGAGGGCTGGGGGCGTGGGCAATAACTGATGCGGACGTCGGTGTGACCCCCCGTGTATGTGAGTGCCGACAGCCCTGTGTTTGTTGTCCGCCGTTTCTCCCGTAATAACCCCTACATATCCATTAAATCAGGGGCAAGAAAATAATAAGTACAGGTGAAAAGAACACAGAACAGCATGAATCAACCGAAATAGTATCAGTCCTAATTGTTTTATTTTACTCTACTGAATAAATGCTGCCTAAATAGTGCGATCCCAGAAGTCTATTGAACCAATGGGTTACGTGAGAAATACTTTTTTTTACGTGCAGAGACAGATACAGCATATGTAGAAGACTTTGCTTATCTAGTTTGTTATTAAGAACGCTGTTCAGGCCTCTAGATCGATGTCAAGAGAGCTTAACTGACATATTAATGGACATTGATTTGTACAGAAATGGTACCTTGGAATTGTGTAAGCATTAAACTCGGCAATATTCTCGTCCAGAACATTGATTTGATGTATTCTTGGTTCTTTCGGTAAAGTCACGTAGATAGAAAATAAAATAAATAAAATGCTCTTTGGTTCTTTCGGTAAAGTCATGTAGGTAGAAAAATAAAACAAAATAAAAATAATAAAATTAAGAATAAAAGCAAAAAGCCCACGACGTTTCGATCGCGACACAAGCGATCTTCATCAGGCGGAGAGAAAAGAGGGCAAGCCTCCAAATGCAACTGATTTGATGCGTGTAGAATTCCCGATAGGTTGAACGTGCGTCAAAGAAAATATCCCGTCCACCACTGACCTCTGCTGGTCATAGAGATAAACAAAATTTGATCTCGAAGAGCCGGTTAACAATATCATCCACCAATACACAAGTTGTGCAAGATATGGGCACTGACAGGCAACTGCTGAAGACCATCATTAGCAGGAAGTGTTACTACCTAGGCCACATTGCCCGAAACGACCACAAATACCAGCTATTACAGCAAATCCTGGAAGGAAAAATCGAAGGGAAAAAACGACCAGGACGGCCAAAAACGACATGGCTCAGTAACATCAAAACATGGCTACAATTAACAGCAGCACAAACTCTACACGCCGTGCTAGACCAGGACCAATATCATCGTGAAGTCGCACACGCCGTTAGGCAGCACTAAAGAAGAAGAAGAAAAGTTACTTTACAGCATTCTATACCCTTGGTTGTTTACTGCTGCTGAAATGTTTTGAAACCCTCCGTATTATATTTTCTTCTTCTTCGTGTAGCTGTTGTTTATGTAGAGCAACGACTATCATTTCATATCGAGGTGGTTGAGCCAGATCATGGCGTCTGGGGTTAGCGGAGTTCATCGCTGTGATGATGCCTTCTTCGTCTTTGTGAATCGGGCATTGAGTCGTTATTTGTTCTGTCTGTTCTGGGTGATCACAGTCGCATAGCCGGAGAGTTTTTTTAAATCCTTTATATTAAGTTCGCTTGCTTGTACACTATGGGGACCTCATTTGCCAGTAAAAAATATGATAATTGGTTCTTTACCCTTCTATCTGGCAACAAAACTGACACCTTTTTGCAAGGAGTCATGTTTGCATAGACCGCAATACCTGCAGTCATAAATACAAACAAAAGACATAACTCTGATAATGTGCACTGTCCTTGAAGTTGATTGGTCCACACCCGAGACAGCTTTCCTTCGAGCCTAGTCTCATATGGGTTGGACCAGATGACGCCAAAAGGCGCACAACTCAAGGACAATGCACCATCAGAGTATGAGAGCTCGGGGCAAGCATCTACACTATGGGGACCTCATTTGCCAGTAAAAAATATGATAATTGGTTCTTTACCCTTCTATCTGGCAACAAAACTGACACCTTTTTGCAAGGAGTCATGTTTGCATAGACCGCAATACCTGCAGTCATAAATACAAACAAAAGACATAACTCTGATAATGTGCACTGTCCTTGAAGTTGATTGGTCCACACCCGAGACAGCTTTCCTTCGAGCCTAGTCTCATATGGGTTGGACCAGATGACGCCAAAAGGCGCACAACTCAAGGACAATGCACCATCAGAGTATGAGAGCTCGGGGCAAGCATCTACACTATGGGGACCTCATTTGCCAGTAAAAAATATGATAATTGGTTCTTTACCCTTCTATCTGGCAACAAAACTGACACCTTTTTTGCAAGGAGTCATGTTTGCATAGACCACAATACCTGCAGTCATAAATACAAACAAAAGACATAACTCTGATAATGTGCACTGTCCTTGAAGTTGATTGGTCCACACCCGAGACAGCTTTCCTTCGAGCCTAGTCTCATATGGGTTGGACCAGATGACGCCAAAAGGCGCACAACTCAAGGACAATGCACCATCAGAGTATGAGAGCTCGGGGCAAGCATCTACACTATGGGGACCTCATTTGCCAGTAAAAAATATGATAATTGGTTCTTTACCCTTCTATCTGGCAACAAAACTGACACCTTTTTGCAAGGAGTCATGTTTGCATAGACCGCAATACCTGCAGTCATAAATACAAACAAAAGACATAACTCTGATAATGTGCACTGTCCTTGAAGTTGATTGGTCCACACCCGAGACAGCTTTCCTTCGAGCCTAGTCTCATATGGGTTGGACCAGATGACGCCAAAAGGCGCACAACTCAAGGACAATGCACCATCAGAGTATGAGAGCTCGGGGCAAGCATCTACACTATCGGGACCTCATTTGCCAGTAAAAAATATGATAATTGGTTCTTTACCCTTCTATCTGGCAACAAAACTGACACCTTTTTGCAAGGAGTCATGTTTGCATAGACCGCAATACCTGCAGTCATAAATACAAACAAAAGACATAACTCTGATAATGTGCACTGTCCTTCAGTTTTGTTGCCAGATAGAAGGGTAAAGAACCAATTATCATATTTTTTACTGGCAAATGAGGTCCCCATAGTGTAGATGCTTGCCCCGAGCTCTCATACTCTGATGGTGCATTGTCCTTGAGTTGTGCGCCTTTTGGCGTCATCTGGTCCAACCCATATGAGACTAGGCTCGAAGGAAAGCTGTCTCGGGTGTGGACCAATCAACTTCAAGGACAGTGCACATTATCAGAGTTATGTCTTTTGTTTGTATTTATGACTGCAGGTATTGCGGTTTATGCAAACATGACTCCTTGCAAAAAGGTGTCAGTTTTGTTGCCAGATAGAAGGGTAAAGAACCAATTATTCGCTTGCTTGCTTAGGACCGTGCAAATCTTTCGGTCGTTTTTTAACCGACTTCCCGTGATCCAATCGAGCTGACATTTTCCACACAGACTCGTTGTGCGTGACAATTAATGTTTGTGAATTTTTTTTTCTAAATGTAACACTTTTTAGGACAAAAATATTTTTAATTACCAATTGCTTAATGGTGCAATGCAATTGTGGTGCCACAACGACTGGGCCGCTCTGCCGAGCCAGGGAGCCGCCCGGCTTCCACCACTGCACTGCCCCCCATCACCCCCCCACATAAGCACGCACCCGCACCCACGTAGGGCCTCGTGGTCGGGTCACCTACCCTGAGTTTTCACCCGAGGGCCCCCTCGGGGGGTTACCCCACGGTTTCTCAGGGCCAGGGAATTGGACAGGACCCTTCCCAGGCTGAGTAACACTGCGGCGCCGTGGGCGGATTTGAGATCGCACGACCACGGCGAGCTCAGAGAGCCCCGCAGTTAGAAACGCATACGAACACAAACACGGGTCAGCAAGGCAGATAACTAGGATCAGGACCCGGGGCTGCTGCTTAGCAAAAAGGTCAAAGGCCGGCGGGATCGCAAAAGGGCGGGAGATCCTAGGCTCAGGATTGGTTGAGAGACCAAGGCGGTCGGGACGGGGGCGCCTAGCTTTGATGTGGATAGTTTAAAAGAAAACGCAGGGGCAGTAGGGGACTCTCTTCTTCTGGAGGAGTGACACGGGCTGGACGACGAGGGAGTCATCGGGCGAGCCGCAGGATCGTCTGCAGGACGACCTGAGCGCCGCAAGGTCACCTAGGACTACAGACGGTATCGTATTACGCGCCTTACAACACCTCAGAGCGGAGAGTAGGATCCGTAGGAGAAGGTTAGTTCGGGGTAAGGACGAGTAGGAAAGCGGTGTAACAGAGAGCGCAGCATAGAATAGGGCTGCACGCCACTAGAGAGTGGGTTGGAAGCGCCTTGCTGGCTCGTACACACACACGGGTGGCTCGGTGAGTTAACAAGGGTTAATAAAATCTCGAGCGTAGTAACAAAACCGTGTTGTTGGGTGTTTTGAACGTGGTATTAGCGTGCACTGCATTCGCGGGTGTGTGGTCGTTGTATGCGTAAAGGCCGTGATCTCTGTACGATGGTGCGGGTACGGAGGTGTGTGTGTTAACGCCCGGGGAGAGCACTTTTGTGTGTTGGCGTGCCTACGCAGCCGTGTGAGAGGAGAATCGTCCTTGCACGATACTTGTGTTGACGTGCACGCGCGAGTGCGGGAGGGGACGAATCGCCGTGTCGGCGTGCACCCCGCTCGCGTGTGCGAAACCGCGGTGCGCAGTGGAGCTG